ACGTCTCTTAACTGAGAGGGAAGTGAGACATCCTCAACGCCTTAACACCTTGCTCTACGCATCCCGTTCAGGTGGTGGCAGCGGGCTCCAGGAAATGGCAAACATCGATCTACAAAGAAACCAGGAACAAGTCAGCTTTAAGATTCACCACATCTAAAGATCCGAAATTGCAGGCCGTTGTGCAATTCTAAGAAGATAAGGAGGTAGAAGGCTGAATATCAATGCTTAGATGCTAAGAAATGTGCTGTGGACGTGAATGAGGATGACCTTAGTGCCAATCGATGATCCCAAACTTTCATTTGAAACAACAGAAGGGAGAACTTACACTGCCTCAGACCTCACAGCGCAAAAACGTTGTTAGCCAAAAGGATCTTGGATGATGTAAGAGAAAAGTGGAGATCAAAAAAAGCGTCTTGCGGGCGAACATTGTGTCTCCACTCAGCCTTCGACGAAGCTCTCTTATTTGGGCGAGCGAAGCTAGCTGCGCGAGAACGCGCGAGCGAGCGCCGAAGCCGCGAGGGGGTAAGGGGCCTTTCTCTACCCTGCCCCCGGCTTTAGCATCTCCTCTCGCGTGCCTCTCGCGCGTCTACTTTTCACGATATCCCCCAAGTGGAGAGCTTGCATGCAGGGTAGTCTCCACTCTGTGATGAAACAGTTGAACTATTAGAGTGCTTTAATTGGAGCAACAAATGAAAATCGGCCCACTCTACACGATCTGCGCACTGACGGAAAAATAATTTTTATCAGCAACTCACTAGAACAAAGGTGCGGGAGGCAAAGATACCCTACGCGACAGAGGAAAAATGCAGGAATGTCACGAGTTCAACGAAACAGTGAAAAATATTCTCTCTGGCTGTCCAGAGTTAGCAGAAAGACCATACCTTTACTGACATATTGAAAAAGAGTTTTAAATGAGTTACTCATAGCCCATCAATTGAGTGACAAGCCACTTCCACTGAGGCAGAAGGTTCGCAGTTTCTATGGGAATAAAGATGCAGAAATAACCTGGAATTGTTCTCTAGTGACTGAAGCTCGCCCGCAGACAAGAAGATGAAAGAGATCTACATACTGTAACGGGGATGGAGCGCCCAAGTTGGAGAAATAGGACAGATACGGAAAGGCGCGTAAAACCATGAAGCACACAACCGGGCGAATCGAACTTAGGAAGAGACATCCTGATTTTAGGATTAACCAAAAAATGTTACTGTGGATGTCCTTGAAGGATACAGCAAAGGACTGAGAGAGAAACTTACCACCTTCCTCGGAAAAACTGCTACAAAAAGATCTAGAGTGTTAGCGCTTTGCAAAAGATAATCTTGCTGCATGCTGTTAGAATAATTACTTGTGTGGTAGAATGAACCACAAGTCTATTCATTTCATTCCTTCTATGTAAGATAAACGTATGTAGATTCGTGTGTATATATCTTATTTTTGATAATTTTATTTTTATTCTTTTGCTATCCGATAATGACTTTAAAAAATTGGAGAAAGGAGTTTGGCTCTGCCCCTCCCTTTATGATATGTGCAAACACCATTCAAGTGTCTATAAAGAAAGAAAAAAAAGGATATTTGCATCCCATTAAAAAGAACCAAAAAAAAAAAAAAA